GGACTGATTGGCGATGAAATCTCAGCACGGATCCGAGAAGCTCGAGCTGCTTTCGCTGACTTACACCATCTCTGGCGTAGGCGTGACATCCGGTTATCAACCAAGGGACGTGTGTACTGCTCATCAGTTCGCTCCGTCCTTCTCTATGGCTCTGAAACATGGCCAATACGAGTTGAAGGCATGAAAAGGTTGACTGCTTTCGATCATAGATGTCTGCGATCTCTGTCTCACGTTAGGTGGTTTAACAAGGTAAGTAATGTTGACGTTAGGCGTAGAGTGTTGGGCAAAGAGGGAAAATCAATCGACGAGGCTATAAAGTTACATAGACTAAGATGGCTAGGTCACGTGCTGCGCATGCCTAACCACCGCCTCCCCCGACGGACATTGCTAGCTGATATAGGTGCAGGTTGGAAAAGAGCCAGTGGTGGCCAAACAAAAACATGGCATCAATCCATGAAATCCTTGACAGTTAAACTGAGTCAGGTAGGGAGATGCAGACTCCCGGGTTGGGGCCCTCGGGACTCTAGGAATCAATGGCTGGAGACAATAGGTGACATGGCTCAAAATCGTTGTCAATGGCCAGCGCAGATGTATTCAGTCTCTGTAATCTTTCATATTCCTTTCTACCATTACCCATTCTGTTTCACTCTTATACTTGTCAAACTCTATTAATTCTCTTCACTCATCTTCTTGTCTACCTCTGTGTGCTATTTGGAAGGTGGCAACTCGAACTGCTGCACTTCGGTGCCAAGTTCTATGTTGAATCCAGACAGAGACAGATTGTTAACCAAATGCCAAAATTTTGTTGGTTCTATGTTAATATCTTTTTATAATATGTCTAGACACGTTACTTTGCAATGTCAGATGTTTACTATATATAAGTACTCTAAGTCCTGCCAACTGACCTTACCTTCAGTCCATACTACCTAAATTGAACCTTAACTATAGTGTTCTGCTAAATCTTGTTCCACTATTCACAATACCTATTCGTTTTACTCTTCAAGTTTTTGACTTCTTATAAAGTGATCTGTTCATTAGGATGCATGCACACATATATAATATGTTCGTAAAGATGTACGTGGAGACCTATTGGAAGCACTCATTAAGAAAGCTAGGGAGATGGAATATGGGGTACGAACATGTCTGGTACCAAGCAATATATTTGCGGTAGCCATAATAATCATAGTCTTAGAGCCTAACATCAAAAAAGGAGGGAGGGTGGCGCTAGCTGATCAGTAGATATGGTGGTGGTCACTAAGGTGAATCGCCCCATTCTGCAGGAACAGCAATATGCAATTTGAAGGCTCGAGATTTTCATGATTTTTATGAGGGCTTAGATCTTTATCTTGAAAAAGATAATAATGAACGCCTTGACAGATCATGCTTCTACCTCTAAATATATACCATTCGCTCAGCCTATTGTTGAGATGCGACCACGCGGGATCTGCACAGATTTATGGGGCATCTTATAAATTAACTTGCTATCCATTGTCAGATCTTTAAATACCACTTCACAATATCTTGTCTCACTTATTTTCTAATAACGTCTTTACATGATCCTCATTATATTCCATTAAACCTAACATTTTATAGCTCTTTATGAATTTGATTCGACTTATTCTATTCCTATTCTCTGGAGGGTACGGTTGTGCACCAAATAGACAAAAAGGCATGAAATAAAAACAACTGGCTTGAAAATAATTGTATTAAAGCCAAAAGTGGACATCATGATAGTACAAAATATATTGGTTTTATTATACATTGCAAATGAACGTTGTCGGCCTAAGGATTAATTACTTCCCCATTCTGTTTTCTATATAAATGTGTTTATTAATGATATATTTCACTCACTTAATCTATTACACTTTAATGTTTCACCTTAGCACTTTAACTTTTCTAAAACAGCTTCCAATTCCTTGTAAACGTTGTACTTACCTCAATATTGGTTGGTTATCGTATGCCTACAACCACGGGATGAAAACGAAACGAAGTCGATTTTCCCGCTCAACCTGGAGGACAACTGTACAATTCAATAACTATACGGCCTGGTTCAGATAATGAGTGTAATTATATATATATCAAATATTTAACTGTTGAAACATTATTAACTTGTAGACAATTTAAGATTTAACATTATAACATACTTGATCGTGCCTGTAAAAATGGCATGCATTTTCATGTAAATTTATGTTTATATGAAAATAAAATTATTATTATTATTAACTAAGGTCTATGAACAAATATTACAATAATAAATCACAATATTACTTCTGACGGTTTTCTCCTGACTTCTTTCTGAACAGCGACCGATGAGACGATGACTGTCGTATTGATGCTTCCGCGAAAATTGGGGAAGTTGGTTTTGAGCAAACAACCATGAATTGATCGTTCAATCTTCAACTGCATTGACACAGCTATATATTGGAAAATGAAGAACTCAGACCCTCCTTTAATAGTACTTTCTGGGGATAAAATCCTTAGTCCCAGCTGTTTAGAAAGGTCATTAGAGTATTCTGGGTTGTAGATAACACAAGTGAAAACTATGCATATCTCCAGGTGACGGAATATAATCCTTTTTAACTATGAATATGTGGATATTATGAGAAAAGGTGCATATTTTCAAAAGAATATGGGAAGATGGTTCAGTGAGAAACAGCACACCTGTAGCGCAACAGTCCGAGAAGGTAGCTAGCTCATGGCTTCCATTTGCTGCGAATGCTTCTGCCTTCTTGGTCAGACAGGCTAAGCGATGACCATCGGTGGTATGCGTTCGCCCTTATACATGGGTTTTAACTGATCTATTTTATTCGCGTAGGATGAAATCTGTTACCCTTCTAGCATGCCTTCTGCAATTCGTCAAACAAAATCCAACTTAGCTTAGCGAAGGCCCACTGGTATATGGAATTTTATTCCCTACAAACGTTTGGTCTGAGACCCAGTTGGCTCCAAGCCATCCGGCTAGCAATGAAGCTTAACCACTCAATTCAACGAATCATTTCTGCCTGTGAGAAAATGGCCTGGTTAAAACCAGTATATTCACTACCAGCCATGGGGTGGATTTCAAGGACTCGCCTTCGTGCTTCGGATAAGCTTTGTGACTGTTTTCCTTGGCTTTTCCAATGACAAGCCTGGAAATCATATGGTGTCTACCTTACAGTCGTGTTGAAACCACTATTCGCATATTCTCCCCAATTTAACTTAGTCATTCGGCCACTAAGCTTACTCATGCTATTCAGCTGGATGACTCGATAAAGTCGCCTTGCTTATTGGCGGCACTAAGGATGTTTATTGATTTATGAAGAAATTGGTGATGGAACTGTCCACAAAATTCAGAACCATATGTGCCACACTTGACTGACCTGGAACACCAGACCAACTTTCTTTCACCATAAGTGCCAAAAACAGAGAAATCATGTGGCATTCTCCACATACCTATGCACAAAACAGGCTATATTCATTTTTGATGTGCTGCTGAGGTGTTCTAAGTTGCGTACTGGTGACATCTTAATGAATCTTGAATATCAATGGCACAGGTAAGGAAGAGAGAAGGAGATAGTTGCGGAGCGGCAGCAGAGTCATGATGTGGAGGCAAAAAACAAGTAATCTTTTTGCCTACATACTATTATACTCCGTTTCGCCTTAACTGCCCAGTCCCATAATATGGCGAAAAAGTGTCATTTTATTCGTATTCGTCACTCACTTAAAGTCTGGTCACAAAGAACAACAACAGCAATGTTCGGAGAAAGCTGTATTTTCATCGAAGGCGTCGTAGCTTCCATGAAAATATAAATATAGTTGGCATTAAGCATTACAAATGTATACTATCATTCTAAGTAGTCTTCACCTCCTTGTGTATATCTTGTAAATGTACTTTCAATGATTTATTATCCATAATTGTATTTCATGCCGTTTCGCAGTTTCCCAGGACGTTCTTCTCCTCCTGGAATAGCTTTTAAGCATGCGGAAGTATAGCACTTACCCAAGTATTGTCTGTCCACCGGTTGACCATAACTACCGGCAAGCAAACGGACGAAGTTTGGGATGGCCTTAACCTTGATGGTGACCTCAGAGAAGGGTCTACAATTTACACTAATACGAACCTGTTCTAATTGTCCAACAATTTAGGTTTTTGAGAAGGCGGTAATGTATGATACTTCAGGATTGTAACTTATAGCGGAACTGGTAGTACCTGTAAAGATGGCATGCATTTCTCGTGAACTCACCGGTTTATACGAAGTATAAACTATTATTATCAGCTCAGGTCAAGCCTACACAGAATAGTGACCGACGTCCACTAGTCAGTGGTAATACGCGGCTTTAAAAATATCTAATTTCTGTTGTATGGGAAGGAATTATCGGTCCTCGACATTTATCACAATACGCAAATAAAAAGTAGTACGCATAGTTCTTATCTTGTTTCGACCGTTTCATCAACATACATGTTTCCAGTATACCACTCAACATTAGGGTGAAATACAAATCCAGAGGAGCTTTCTATAGTGGTGGCAGTCAAAGATCTAGAATTATTCCGAAACAACGAATTCGTAGACTAATGTCAGTAATATTTTTAAGGTCGAGAGATATAGTCTAGGCTCTGCTTGGTGGTCAGACGTGCTGTAACCCTGAAGCAAAAGAATGATCCTATGAGGCCATCTTTATCCGCGCAAATAATATTCCCTTAGTGGAATATGACGCCATTAGTATTCATCGTGGAAAGATAAATAAAAAGGGAAACTGCAATATTTTTCGATTTTTGGAAGGATTGGACATTCAGATGGACTTCACTAATAAATATTGTTATTATATCAATATTAGGAAGCGAACTCAAGGAGATCATTTTAGTTTACAGTAGTCAAAGAGGGGGATATTGGATTGTGTTATCAATTTTTATAATATCCCACTGTCGTCTCATTGACAATTGTACATTCAAGGCGCTTCATATGGAAGTAATCCGGGCGCTTTTTTAATCCACACAGTGTAACTCGCTGTATTTTTTACTAATGAGTACGGAAGAGAAAGAAATGGTAATACTTTTTAGCGTTTCCATTTTATCTTAAGTGCCCTTTGTGTATGGAACCAATGGAAGCAGATGACCTTGCTTTTTATCCATGCGACTGTCGGTACCAGGCAAGTAAACGTAAAATATTTCGTTGTAATCGAAGTAGGTATGCCGCTTCTGTTGGGCTAAAATCATCAATGAAGAAAATGGCCTGTGTCCAGCATGTCGAAAGGTAGGATTCAACATAATGCCTAGCATCGTTTAGGAATATAATTCGGAGAAACCAGCTTCATATAAACCTATTTCAGAGTCTGAGTAAGTTTTTTATATTACGACAAACTGTTTTTGTAGAGAATCTCGATGTAGATCAAGCAGGAGACGTAAGGAATATATGAAGAAAACAAAATTAAACCCTGAGATGCTGAAAATATTACCGGAATTAAGGTATGTTAAACGTTGCGTAGAAAGGTCATTTGTTAGAGTTGTGCAGCCGAACCTTATATTTGTGGTCGGGTTGCCCACGTGGATTTCTAAAGACAAAGATATTTTGAAGGGTCAGGATTATTTTGGGCGCTACGGAAAAATATTCAAAGTTGAGGTTAACCAGAACCAAACTTTCGGTGGACCACAGGTGGGCTTTCATTAGTGTTTCTGTTGGACTTGCTCTGTCTTGGACTTTCGTGCTTACTATATATTTTCTTTTTGTACTCTTAGGGTCAACCCAGTTTCAGTGCGTACATAACCTATTATCGAGCTGAAGATGCTATGCGCTCAATTAGAGATCTTAATCAAAGCACGTTACATGGAAGACCTATTCGAGTTTCTCTTGGTACGACAAAGTACTGTAGTCAGTTCCTAAGAGGCACTAAGTGTACCAAGCATGTAAGTCAAGGTTGCTTGTTAAAGTGTTTTAAATTTTAGTGTGTCAGCTGTTAAAATAGCTGTTTTCTATGCGGTCTTATATGAGTTTTAAAACAGTCTCACTTTCAGGAGTGTAAAATTCGGTTTAGTATATTACCAGTTGGATGGGCGGACGTTACCACATCCCTTACTCCAACTTCCAATCATATATATGTATGTATGCTTATCAAATTTCCGGTCGGGAATGTCTGTCTAATCCCTCCATCAAAGAGTCGATTGAAGACGCTCCCAAATTCCGGTTGTTTGATTTCAAAAGTTTACATTCCTCTTCAGGGATCAGTATTCCATAACTATGTAGTTCCTCCTTGGATTTTAAACTACTGCTACGTCCTCGGGTGTGTCCCTACCCGATGAAAATAAACACTGTAGATCAGGTCCACGATCATTTTTTAGGTTTTCGAACACTAATTACATCTCGCTATCTACAACATGATAAAAATACATTGAAACTGTTTAGTGTTTCCGTGCATGATAAATTACTCTTACTAGAAAAATCATACATGTAGCCTTCGTCTGGAATCTCATTAGAATGAGTCCCCCTTAGGACAAGGGCTGGCTGCTGGATACATATTTAGTTTGAACCTTACCAATACGTATATATATATATATATATATATATATAATATACTGGTGGGCATTTCACTTGTAATCCTGATAAAAACTGCCTATTGCTCATAAAGATCTGAAACTGCAAGCTGCCCCTACGTCAGTACGCGTGGTGTTTAGGTAATGACTTACCGTGACCAGTGTGCATCTGAACTGACAAGAATGGTATTGCCTCAATCATGCGCGCTGACACTTGCGTGCACGAAGCACATGACTGCGCATTTCGCTACGTTGAATAGTGGCATCCATTTTTCAGACCAATCTAACATATTACTGGGATCTGTGTGCAACGTAAGCGTATCGCTGTCACTCTTAGGCTTTCCAAGTTTTTAGATCATCTGCGTAGAAAACCGTTGGACATTCGGTGAACCTAGGTAATGTATTGATTTACAAGATAAATAAGAAGGGCCGACTACATTACTTACATTACGTAGTGTTGTCTCAAGAGGTTAATGAGGTAATCCTGACTGTTTTCTACTTATGTGAAATTCCTTGACATGGTTTAGCTGACTATCCTTAATTACATGACTTTCCAATTTGTTGAATAGTCTTGTATGGTACTTTGTTGAAAGTGACGTCGATCAGTTTCTTATATCTGCGCTCAACTCAGCTTCCTTTTTACTGTAAGAAGCTTTCCGAGAGGTTTCTCTGGAAAACATGCTGTGTACTGGATAAGTTGTCTTCTAAATATACTCTGGCTTTCGTTATTATTTAAGGTGCTAGTAAGACTAATAGATCTGTAGTTTGAAGGATATTGCCTGGATCGCCCCTTGTAGATGTGGGTTACTGTTACACCTTTCTAGTCATGTGGCAAACTCCACATAAGGGAGCCTGGAAATCCTGGTCAAGGGATTGGTTACGTGGGCCGCTAGTTACTTACGAAACATTGGGCGAAGGTCATCTGGTCCCACTGAATTTCTCGTGTCTAGTTTGTTTGGAGATAAGAATACGGTGTTTTAGTCGATGCCTGTCTGTATCGTCTTCCTGTGGCGTAGTCAGGGCTGGTGATATGGGTAGTGAGGACTTCCATGTGAAGACTGGAGTAGTTTGTCATTTCTTCTACTTACCAATCCTCTTCGACTACGTCGGTATCAGTAATCAGGTTTGGGACACTGCTGGACGATTTATTCGTAGGGCTCATGTACTAAAGTAGTTTCTTGGGTTGTACCATTGGATTCTTAGCTGGACTTACTTCCAACTTCATCCCTGATTGACGAATTCCTGCAATAGCTTTATTTCTAACTGAACTGTGCAACTCTTCGGTCTCTGAAGTCGCAGGCGTGATAAACATACTCCAGCACTTGTAGTTCCTGAATCTCCCTGTATTATCTAAGGGGAAGTGTTTTCAACCCTGTGTAACTGACGATGAAGTGTAGAGTTGGTTTACTCAAGCATAAAGTTGCTTGAATTGATTATATGCAGTTTCCACATGAGATTGTGAACTTACGTCTCAATCCTGGGATGAGTCTGCAGTAATGACAGCACTTATCACCCGTTTTCCATATGTTTGGTTGAGGGGGAGTTTTGGTCCATATTATCGAAGCAGCTGTGAACTAAAACGAGCACAGTTTGGTCACTTCTTTCTTCTAATGGAGGGGGTATTGCCTGAGGTCCACGTCTTTACCGTGGGAGAAAGCCATGTCTAAGTTTGAATAGGAATTCTGAGAATCATAATGCGTATGTGTCGTAATGTGCTATACTAGAACCAATGAAACGGGAGATTTTATCAGTTGGTCGTCGAAGGTATTGTCTGAGTTGGGTGTTGTTCGATTTATCTGATAGATTGAATGGTCTTTCAAGTCACCGACTTTAATGCCCAGAGACTTGAATGTGCATGGAAGTAATTTTCTCAGTTTTATCTGGACTGCGGTATGTAGCGATGGGATTGATGTCTTGTCCTTTGTGTTTTAATCTATAACGTAGAAATTTGCATGAACCATTTTCCTGTGCGAGAGCTTCTGTGCTACTAAAAACTAGGCACCTCCGATACTTGATAACTCCTCCACTCCCTTTATGGTTTGCTTGATCCCGCGGAAAATCGGGAATTACCGAACTTCGAACTTTTACTACCCAAAAACCCTTAACAACGAGGTTTTTCGCATAGTTGCGACATGATTCGCCCAATTCCAGTTTGCAGACCGCTCGACCGCTTGAGAGTATTATTGCTGAGAATTGCATTCTTCTGTATTTAATGTGACTTTGAGAAGGTATACTGATTGACTTAATGTGGAGTCAAACAAAAACTTGGCATCAGTCAATGAAATCCACAACAGTTGGTCTAAGCCACGTAGAAAGGTGTAGACTTCCAGGCTGGGGTCCTCGGGACGGTAAAAATCTATGGTTGGAAACAATTGGTGACATGGCTCAAAACCGTTCTCAGTGGCGCAGATGCATCCACTCCTGTGACTTATGATCTTCAATGAAACTGTTTTGTATTTCTTACTCCTTTGTCTCACACCTCTGCTGACTGTCTCTATTATGCTTTTCTTGTACTTTCTTCTCTTGCTTCGCGTGCCACATGGAGTGTGGCGACTTGAACTTCCGCACATTTGTGCAAAGTTCTATGTCGAAAACAGACAGACAGACAGACAGAATGTGGAGTCAGCCTTTTCGCCCATTCTCTAGAGACTATGGATGGTTATGGCTGCTACTGTTGTAGGGAAGACTAGGTTGTCTAAAATTGATTTAAGTAGACTAAAATCGTATTCGAACCTGGCCTCGAGGCCCCAAACCTCTTATTCTTTCATTTAATGGGAAATAATCGATCTGTCAGAGAGATTAAGTTTGCTACAGTTGGCTATTTGATTTTGAAGCGATGTTATCTCTCCATTTTTCAAGGTACTTCCCAAATAAGTGAAGCGGTCAACGTGCTCTACCACTTCACTTCCTATTTTTAAACTAGGCGTCGATGTATTCCAGTCCTGTAACATCATCTTGCATTTGGCGGGAGCGAATCGCATGCCAAACATTCGTAGATTGCTGTTCAAGGTGTTTAGAAGACTCTGCATTTTGTCAGCGTCTTCGCCTAGAAGGACTATATCGTCTGCATATTCCAAGTCAACGAGATTATTCCCAGGTAGCAAGTCAATCCCTGAATCGCTGAAGTCACCTAGGGTTAAGTCCATTAACACATCTATGATGAAGTTGAATAGAAAAGGAGATAATGGGCATCCTTGACGGACACCACTGGTCGTCATCAGTTCAGATGACAGCTCGCCGTAAGCCCTCACCTGGCTGTATGAGTACGAGTAGAGTGCTTTGATTAGTGCAATATATTTTCTTGGAATTCCCTTTACAGCCAAGCATCTCCAGAGAACTTCCCGATCGACAGAGTCGAATGCTGCCTTTAGGTCAAGAAATATAATGACTGTTGGACGCCGGTAGGAATGCCTATGTTCTAGAATCTGTCGGAGGGTGAAGATATGATCAATACACCCTCTTCCTGGTCTAAAGCCTGCCTGGCTCTCTCGTGTTTGTGCTTCCCGAGCACCACTTAGTCTACGCATGATTATTGAGCCTAAGACTTTAGATGCCTGCGTTCTATTTCCCGTGTAAAGTGGCATAATAAGGTGAGCAACATGGAGGTTAGGCGTAGAGTTCTAGGTAAACAGGGAAATCAATCGACGAAGTCGTGAAGCTACATCGACTGAGATGGTTAGGACATGTGTTACGTATGCCAAGCCATCGCCTCCCTCGACGAGCAATGTTAGCGGATATAGGGTCAGGCTGGAAAAAAGCTAGCGGCGGTCAAACAAAAACCTGGCCCCATCAGTCAATGAAATCCACAACAGTTGGTCTAAGCCACGTAGAAAGGTGTAGACTTCCTGACTGTTTGGGGTCCTCGGGACGGTAAAAATCTATGGTTGGAAACAATTGGTGACATGGCTCAAAACCGTTCTCAGTGGCGCAGATGCATCCACTCCCTGTGACTTATGATCTTCAATGAAACTGTTTTGTATTTCTTTATTACTCCTTTGTCTCACACCTCAGCTCACTGTTTCTATTATGCTTTTCTTGTACTTTCTTCTCTTGCTTCGCGTGCTACACGGAATGTGGCGACTTGAACTTCCGCACATTTGTGCAAAGCTCTATGTCGAAAACAGACAGACAGACATTTTTCAAGGCCGATACGTATTGTGCAGTGGTTTTTTCTCGTCTTTTGCAAGGGAACGCGAGCTGTTAAGAAGTCACGCCATTTACGAATAAATAACTTATGAAAAACTAACTTTAACAATAACAACTCGAGTTTAACTTTATCTGTAAGCTTTTATGGTGTATAAAAACAAGTCAAAAATACACTTTCGAAGTTCGCCAGGTTATATATATATAATACTCATTGCTGCATGTTTGTGCTCTGTTGAGATATCAAGTCGCTAGTGTGTTTTGAAGATAATACCCTCTGCTCTCCTAATGATGCATTGTGGAATCGGTTTGGTAAGTAGAGCCGTTTTTTGTCTTAACCAGTAAAGTTATAGTTTCTTTTAAATCTAACCCTGAGGTAAGTCAACAGCTCTGAGCACAAGAAATGGTTATGAGTGTACGAAAACTACTAGCAACTCTTCGTTGGGTCATAAAACTAATTTGAAAGTTTAGCAACATCTTATCAGGATTTGACAGAAAAAGTTGGTTCACACAGGCAATGTGGCGGTAGCTAGTTTCTATACTCAACAAAAATCTGACAATCGTGATTTCTCTAGCTGTGCTAGCTGTTTTAGTTAGAGATCTAGCTAAGATCCATCGAATGAAATCTAATAGTCATAGGAACTCTTGTGTTTGTTGACTGAAGCGATCATTTCTACAATCCTTTATGGATTCACAGTGAGCCAAATTTACGGGTTAAATCCATATCATCTTTATTTCTCTTTTCACTTGTAAGCAGGCGTCATCTTTTGATGTTAAACAGTATCTTTTATCAATTATTAACATTAAATAATTTAATATATTCGTGTATTGCTCGTCGGACGATTAAACACTACTATTGACAAATGTCGTCAAACAGATTCTTATATAAAAAAAGTGTTTTTAGCTAAAACAAACGCATGTATGATTGTGCTTCACCTATTTATCAGCTGAATATGTTTTTGTAGTACATGAAACCACTTGCATATTTGATTGTTGTTCATTCGTGTATATTCTCTTTGTCAGTAATTTAAACGATGTGGTTGTCTGGTTTCTCAAAACAGTACTTTGCACAAAGTGTAACATAAAATTTCTAAGCATTATGTTGTATTTCATTTCGTTGCTGATGACTGTACAGTGTCACCAACCATTGCATAGATTTTTCACATAGATATTTACGGGTTGCTTTTATGGAAATTAGATGAATTTCGCTTCAATGTTTCTTTTGCAATTAATCAGTCACATTGACGCTTTGTTTTAAACTAACGTTGGTTATCGATGAATATCTTTTCTTTGCCTTTTATTTCAAGGAGTGTATGTATTTGCATGAATTGGGTGATTCAGCTGCAAGTTTTACTAAGGAAGAAATGCAAGCTGGAAAGCATACTGAATATATGAATAAGCTGTTACAAGAATTTTGTCAGTCTAAATCATCATGTACTTTGGATTCACAGAAAGAGGAAACCACTATCTTAGGTCCAGTAGATTCTTCAGGGTCAAATACACACGATGTTACTATATCCCATCCTGTTGAATCAAGCAGTCATTCAAATGGTCGAAGTCGAGTGAGATATGATGGTACTTCTTCCATGTCAAGTGAAAATTCAAATTTTCAAATGTTGGATAGATCTACATCACAGTCAGAACAAACATCTGATTCAGGAAGGAATAATGTATCTACTCGTAAATTAAGACATACAGATAAAGACCATATGAGTGGAAATTCAGTTTCTGATGCTTCTGTCAATGATAAATCTAAATTAAGTTACGGTAATTCCAATAAGTCCAACAACTGGAATCATTCATCATCTTCATCAGATTATTCATATAGGAAACCTGGAAAAAATTCGTACGGAACTTTTCATTTTAAGAATACACCTGAAACAACAGACGCAGACAAATCTTACGGTGTAGGAGGTAAAAGTGTTAATGTACGACATAATCATTCTGCACAAAATCGAATTGCAGTGTCTCAGTCCGCTCCATCTAATCAAGTATCCACGCCTGCAGAGTCAGTCTGCACAAATAGTACTAGTTGTCATCGTACCTGGTGTCGTCCTACTTCAGTGAATTCATCTAATATGCAACCACTGTTAGGAGATGAACCTGCAGATATTGATTTTGATCCATTTCGTGAATCACAACAAGGTTTAGCTGAATTGCTAGCTGCTGAAGTTGCGCGCCTTGAAGTATCTGATTCTCTGTCCAGTCATCGTGCGTGTTATGCTAATGGGTCTTCAGTGAATAAAACTCCTTACTGTTCCACTGGTGGTGGTGGTGGTGATTCAGTCAAATCGCAGTCGTCCCACATAGACACCAGAGTTCCTCAGACAACAATAGGCTGTGATCCTTCTTCTCAACCTACAAGAACACATCCATGGTATCCTAATTTAATGGCATACACCAGAAGTAACAATAATGCAGATGCAGATAAAGTATCTAATGTGAGTTACAATAATTTTACTGGCCATTATCCACCACCTGGTTTCGAACAAGCTGTAAAAGCTTATAATCAGGTTGCTTCTAACAATCAATTTTTGTCATCTTCTGCACCTGATCCTTTAAGTTCAGCTTATCCAGAGCCAAATTATTCATGCCCTGAAAATTTTGGATGTAACAATAACAATATACATAATACAACTGGGCCTTTACTACAGTCTACTGCATTTTCAAGAAATCCACCTTCTTCTATAGACTCTAGTAGTGGAAAATATCCAGTAAACTCTGTGTCTTTAGAGAATTGGTTCGAAGCTAAACGCATATCTGATCATATAAGTGCAATGTATCCAGACACCTTTTATTCATCAATTCCTCCACCTTTACCTGATATTAACAATCAGGTAAAAGTTGAATCAATTCCACAGCAGTCTAGTCAGTTTATGAACAACGTGTTTACGGCTATGTTCAATGCTCCCGGTGTAACAAATAATGGTTCAACCAGTATGTATGATAAATCTACAGCAAAATCTTCAGCATCTATGTTCGATCTTAGTCAATTAATTAATCAGCTTTATTGTCAATCCTCTAGTTATTCATCAGAAACAAATAATACACAACATCCTCCTAATGATTGGTCAGGCAGAGTCAGTATGCCTTTAGGATGTACACAAAATGAAGTGATAGACTCATCTATGTGCTCTATTTCAGCAGCAGCAGCGCCAAACCCAAATATTTTCATCCCTGGAAAATATGTATCTAGGACAGGTTCTTTTCCTAGTAATAGTGAATATCAGCAACATCAGAAGATGCTGTTTGGCATAGTAAGTATATCAATGCTTAAGTCTTTTTCTATTTATTCTCATCTTTGAGGTTCTTAAACTGGTTAAGTGTGCAATTCATACAATATCAGAAGACCCTAGACACATAAATTACTTTATGTACTTTTGTATTTTTTCTCCTTCACGTCCCCAGTGGCTTGAAGTTTCTGTAGTAGTGTTTAATTTTTTACAGGATAGGGTTGCTAGCCAGCCTCATGCCCAACCTTTCCCCTTTACCAGCATTATTCCCGGCTTAGCAAAATAAAGGAGTGTGTCGGTGGCCGGGGATCGAACCCCAGAACATGTGCATGGTCGGCGAGCGTCCTAACCGTTGTGCCATCGATGCACATGTTTTTTTGTAGTATAATAATATTTCTCAGTACTTTACAGATGTTTGTCTATTATCTGTATAATCATGTAGAAATCTAGGCGAAGACGCTGACGAAATGCAGAGTCTTCTAAACACCTTGAACAGCAATCTACGAATGTTTGGCATGCGATTCGCTCCCGCCAAATGCAAGATGATGTTACAAGACTGGAATACATCGACGCCTAGTTTAAAAATAGGAAGTGAAGTGGTAGAGCACGTTGATCGCTTCACCTATTTGGGAAGTTGCATCACCCAGCCCCAACGGGCTGATCTCTGACGAAATCTCAGCACGAATACAGGGGGCTCGTTTCGCATTTGTTAGTTTACGCCGACTCTGACGTAGACGAGATGTTCGACTATCGACCAAAGGGCGGGTGTACTGCTCATCAGTCCGCTCCGTCCTCCTTTATGGTTGAGACCTGGTCACTGAGAGTGGAAGACATGAAAAGACTAGCTGTCTTTGATCATAGGTGCCTGCGTTCTATTTCCCGTGTAAAGTGGCATAATAAGGTGAGCAACATGGAGGTTAGGCGTAGAGTTCTAGGTAAACAGGGGAAATCAATCGACGAAGTCGTGAAGCTACATCGACTGAGATGGTTAGGACATGTGTTACGTATGCCAAGCCATCGCCTCCCTCGACGAGCAATGTTAGCGGATATAGGGTCAGGCTGGAAAAAAGCTAGCGGCGGTCAAACAAAAACCTGGCCCCATCAGTCAATGAAATCCACAACAGTTGGTCTAAGCCACGTAGAAAGGTGTAGACTTCCTGACTGTTTGGGGTCCTCGGGACGGTAAAAATCTATGGTTGGAAACAATTGGTGACATGGCTCAAAACCGTTCTCAGTGGCGCAGATGCATCCACTCCCTGTGACTTATGATCTTCAATGAAACTGTTTTGTATTTCTTTATTACTCCTTTGTCTCACACCTCTGCTGACTGTCTCTATTATGCTTTTCTTGTACTTTCTTCTCTTGCTTCGCGTGCTACACGGAATGTGGCGACTTGAACTTCCGCACATTTGTGCAAAGTTCTATGTCGAAAACAGACAGACAGACAGACAGTTGTAGAAATCTACTTCTTATATCGGGAATGCAGACAAATACTCGTCGACGATATTGGCTAATGTGAGTTGTGGTAAAGCCGCGAATTGGTAAAGGGTTGCAACTTATAAGCGCTACTGAGTCGGGTCCCAGTGGTTGAAATGGTCTACGAGCTTGCCTTGTAACCGGAAGGTCCAGGATTTTAAACCCGGTGGGTGCTTACTGTGCTCACTGAGTTCCAGGCTAGGACGATACAGTTGTCTAGTACCCTCTGTTGGCTTTTAATGCTTCTTTAACGGATATCAATTTGTGATCAAACTATTTCGGTAGTTTCCGGCCATTTTATTTGTTTTTCTTTCTTCAGTAGATTAGTGGTGAAATACCTTTATTCATTCTGAACATCCATGTGGAATTGAACAATTTTATAAAAATAGTTATTTCAACAAAGGTGCTTTTAAACCTTTTTCCGTGGATTTCTATGAATGAAACAGTTGACATCGTATGACTAATCTCACACTGCTGCCTAAGAAATGTAATTTTGACAAGCTTTATGGTTTAGGTATGCCAAGGGGATTGTGAAAATGTAGTATACTGGCTTGAACACTTGATTTTCAGTCGATGAGTCCCGGGCTCGAGTCCTGCTCCACTGAATGGCTTCAGCCTGGGGAACTGAGTAATGTCATTAGCCGTCACACGTTCAACGTGGTTTTTAGTCCGATACTGGGTAATTGAATTCTTTAAATGTAAATAAAGAATTTATCACGGGCTCCAACTGTCACTTCCACTTCCAGTATAAACGAGGTATTTGGACGAAGTAATAAGTTGAAATAAGAGACAAATTCATAGCAAGTATTTAAGGGGCATTATGTATTAGGGGAAACCGTCTATAGTCTGTGTAGTATAAATGCTACTTGGAGATAGTCTCGAAAGAATGTTATTTGTGATTGGTATTCACGAATACTTAAGTGATTTATTGTTACGTGATGTTAAAAGCAAATCAACATAACAGCGATAGAATAGAATAAATAAAATTAGACCGTGATAAATAAGTAGATTGATAGAAAAATTTATACGTGTCCTTTTCCCTCCTGTTGCCTATTCTCAACCCATTCTTGTAAATGCTAGCTAATTTTCATCGCATAAAAGAACGCCAGGCATTAATTATAATGTTTTTGATGTGGTTTTGTTCTCTGAGCTGGATGGTTAGTTTGCGAAGCTTTCATCACGTTACTGGGTGACATCTTCAGCGCATACTTCAGATTGAAGCTTCGCAAACTAACCATCCAGCTCAGAGAACAAAACCACATCAAAATTATCCACCTGAGCTACAAATCTTCTCTATCATATCTAAATCTTACGAGCGGGATATTAATATAATGTGTTTTGCATGAAACTATGTGCTGATTGGTTGAGTTGAGTCGTTGTATACCACTTACATCAATTGTAGTAGTGCTGCTTATTAGTCACATCAGAGTGATCTAAATACTGGACGGCCATTTCACTCGTTTGGGGACGGGTTCATTACCAGTCTACCTGGTTTGACGAATCGAATCACTTCAAATCAAGCAGATGATCGCATATATTGAGAACTGAATAGTTTCGATTTCTAAAGGAAACTGTGAAAAGAGATTTCACCTCGATCTGTGTAAATTGCATACAGCCAACCTGATTGATGTTTTATTTCTGAAAGTATACTTATCATTACATATAATAAATATGCAGAAATCGTAAGTGACCTCATCTATTGCTGTTTATGATCGACATGTTTTGATTTGTTTTCAAATGGTGAGAGGATTTCAGGTTCAGTCATCATTCTTAGTTGGATAAAAGTAACCATGACATTATTTGTGTTAAGTGGTGACATGTCTCAAAAAGTCTCTCGATAGTAGAGTAGATGTGACTTCCAGATTGATTAAACCCTCATTATTATTCTTTATTTATAATTAAGCTTTTCCCTATACATTCTCGTCTATCTTGTGTCTTATTGCGTTCCTTCCCAATACCTTAATGTACTCTTTTGGAAGTGTTAGCAACTAGGACTAATTTACTTTTGTGTAGTCGATAAAAGCATTAGATTCTTAGTTATAAATGTGGCTCATCTGTTTAAATGCTCAGCTGTAAAGCCAATGTGCCCGTGGTTTGAGTCCTGTTCTATCTACGTCAGCCGGGGAAACTGAGTAGCATCACCAACCCTCACACATTAAGTATGCCTAGTCGTCGGTGCATGGAAAATCTGTTCTAGATGATGGAGTTTAGGAGAAACATATTAGTTACTTACTACTCTCTTTCTGAATCTTTCGCCATTTTGACTTTCTAATGTTGCTCTACTTTTCTGCTAAATTTTTACACCGACTTGGCGTTCTGTTGGCTGCAAACAAGTGATTGTAGGAGAGAAAAAAGGAGGTATTGGTTAGCTGGTGGTCTTTTGCTTTCTCCATCAAGTTTACAAGTTATGAGCGAATAAAGTGTGTACATTTTGACTGTTACATTGTTATTATTTCCTGGGATTCCGAGAAAGAACTTGAAGCTTCGGCAGCACACGTCCATTTTGTTCTGTTCTCCTCAGTCCTTTTTAGCTCATCTTCTCTTCTCACGATCTCGTCTATGTCACTCTTGGACCCACGCCGCACTTGTTGTTTTCCGTTCGGTTTCCACTCGGGTGATGGTCTGGCGTGCGTGTCATTCGACGGTCTCCTCAGCGTGTGCCCGGCCCATCTCCATTTTCTCCCACATACTTTTCGAGCAGTAGGTTCTTGGTTAGTTTGTTCCCATGGTTCCTTGTTGCCAATTCTTGATGGTTGACCATTTGATCTTTAGTATGGAAGCAACTGTTGATAAAAGTCTGCGGTAGCCTGTTGGAAATGCTTTTTGTAATGCCACGGACCAGGTTTCTGACTCTATATAGAAAGAGTGACCAAGTTGACTTTGGTACTGATAATCCGAATTTCGTTCTTTATGCTGAGTGCAGGTTTCCAAACTGATTTCAGAGTGATATAGGTATACCTTGACTTTGCGATTCTAGCTGGTTTTGACATCTTCACCCGTTCCGCCTGTGGTTGAAGCAATGCTCCCTAGATAAGTGAAATGAGTAACCTTTTTCAAATTTCTCCCTTTGATATTGATTGGTGCTTGTTGTTGTTGCTTGGTTGATTGGTTATCTTCATCACCTCCGTCTTCTCTGTATTGACTTAAAGTCCTGTCTTCACTGCCTGCATCTTCTACCAGTTTGTTGGTTTTCTCCTGTAAGTCTTCGATTTTGTGTTGGAATAGACATAAAACATCGGCGAAATCCAGATCTTGTAGAGTCTTCTAATCGCTACAACGTATATTTGTCTTCTCGCTCCTCATACACAGTCTGACGCATAATCCAGTCCACCATAATTAGGAATATCATCGGTCATATTAGGTAGCCAGCCTTGTCTCAATCCTGTCTTCACTTCGAAGGCTTTCCTTAGTTTTCCGTTGTGGATCACCTGATATGTGTCATATGTCTGTTGACTACAGTGTATATTAATAGCTGACTAGATAGCCTCGGTGGCATAGCGGCTAGGACGCTCGCTGACCATGCACATGGTCCGGGGTTCGATTCCCGG